GTATTTATTTAGTGGTTCATTTAATTCTGCTTTTATTTCTAATTAAGTCAGTGTTGGTCCTCCGTACTGCAGAAGCCTGATAATCATCATATCAGGTGTGTTGGAGCAGAGAAACAAGTAAAACATGCAGGGCTGCAGACCTCCTGGACCAGGACTGCCCATGCCTGGTTTAGGCCTGAATCTATGCGAACTGATAATCCTGTCATTTCTTAGATAAATGGTATTAAAGAGTTGAGCTGTTTGTGTTTTTAGGTGCTGGTGGTCGGCTGTGGGAACTCTGAGCTGAGTGAACAGCTGTATGATGTCGGCTACAAACATCTGACTAACATAGATATTAGTGAAACTGTGGTGAGCCACATGAAGCAGAGGAACGCAGGCTGCAGACCTGGGCTGACCTTTCACCAGGTGGATGCAACACAAACTCCATACGAGGACGGCAGCTACCAGGCTGCTCTGGATAAGGGCACGCTGGATGCTATGGCTTCAGCAGAGGGAGGGACACTGGCCAACAACATGCTGACTGAAGTGAGAAACCAGCTTCTTATCTTTTATAAAAGTGCTMCTTATGTGTGTGTTTCTCACTGCGTGTGTTGTGTTTGCAGGTGGGCCGTGTGCTCGGTGTTGGGGGCAGGTATCTGTGTGTGACTCTGGCTCAGGAGGCTGTGATAAAGCTAGCTGTGGAGCACTTTGTGCAGCTGGGCTGGGCCGTGAGGCTCCACTGTCTGCAGGAGGAAAGAGGAGCTGAGGAAGAGGAGTCCTTCGCCCTGCCCGTCTTCGTCCTGGTCTGCACCAAGTTCCGCCAGCCCCTGGCCACGCCCATTCTGGAGATGTGTGTGGGGGACAGCGGCGCGCCGGTCCGACACACACACGTGTGCGAGCTGCTGTCGTYGGTCAGAGAGTGTCAGGCGTACTCTGTGCTGAGGAAGAGGCTCCGAACGAGCACCGACCCTGAGGCCAGCCTGTCGCTGACTCTGTGCCACGCCCACACGGGACTGCCCAGATACACCCTGACAGTCCAGGACAGTCCACCTGGACTCAAGGTGCCCCGACCCAATCACTTTGCTATATTTATCGGTGAGTTCTGTAGCTCTGAACGTTGTGTTTCRCTTATTTGTTGATGATTATTCTGCTTGTTGTTTCACAACACTGACAATTCCTGTTCTACTGTGAAAATTCAAGTTCAACATACGTTGTGACTTGGTGCTATATAAATAAACTGAACTTGAATTTGCACAGTAGACCAGCAAGAAGACCAGCTGACCTTCGACGCCATCGTAATGGTCTGCCTGACTGAGCCAAAACACACAGCCTGAGCCTTCACAGACTGGCATTCCCATGGGCCAGTCTGTGTTTTCTCAAACACACATACACACACTTACATACAAACATACAATCGCAGGTTTAAACAAACAGACACAAGCACGCACACGAT